GTCTTGAGGTGGTTTGTCGTGGCCAAGGAGCGGTTTTCGTTGAAGCAACTGCTGATTTTACGGTTTCCGATTTCGAGAAGGCCCCACGTTATGTTACGGAGTGGCGGAGGTTTTTGGCGTTGGAGGTGGCGGACGTGTTGCAGGCGGCTCCGCCGCTGGTAGTCCAGCTCACGTGGCTCTCCGATGGTGCCGCGGCACTCGGTTTCGGGTTTAGTCATTGTATCTGCGACGGAATTGGTAGTGTCGAGTTTCTCAACCTGTTCGCTCAGTTGGCCACCGGCCGCCGGAATGGATCATCGGCGGATTTTAAACCAAAACCCGTTTGGCAAAGACACCTTCTCGATAAAACGCCTTTCACTTTCAGACAACCAACCCAATTATTACACCCCGAGTTCAACCGAGTTACTGACCATTGCAAGTTTATGAGTCGGTTCACTCCCGACAAACTCACTCCCACCTCGGTTACGTTTGACGAGTGGAGACTAAACGAGTTGAAGCATTCCATAAACCCGACGAGTCAACTCAGTTTGCTCTGCACGACCTTCGAGGTGTTGTCTGCCTATATTTGGAAAAGCTGGGCCACAGCATTGGACTTCCCACCACAGCAAAACCTAAAGTTGCTTTTCAGTGTCGACATACGCCACCGAGTCAAACCGAGCCTACCCACCGGATTCTATGGTAACGGCATCGTACTCGGCTGTGCTCAGACAACAGCAAGAAACTTAACAGAGAAGGGATTAGCCTACGCCACCGAGTTAATAAAGGAAGCAAAAAACCGAGTCGACAACAACTACGTAAAAGAAGTGGTGGAATCAGTAAGTCTAAACGGAGCAAGTTGTGTCCCCGACCCGGTTGGCGTACTTGTTTTATCGCAGTGGTCAAGGCTGGGTTTAGAGATGGTTGACTTTGGAATGGGGAGGCCGGTTCATCTGGCGCCGGTTTGTACGGATAGGTACTGTATATTGCTACCTGTAGACGATCACAGCCGTTCAGTGAAGGTCATGCTTGCTGTACCCACCATAGCCGTTGACAAATATCTTGATCTGCTCTCAGACGTCTGATAAAAACCCAAACCCCTGACTTTCTTTGATTTATAAAATTTTTTAGTTGTTTATCGTCTCTTCATTCTAAATTCTAATTCATGTCAACGTGTTTTTTTTTTAGTAGCATTCATATAAGAAAAGAACATGAACATGTCACATGGAATTTGGCAACCAACGGTGCGACACCTACCACATTAATTAATTAGACATGAACTTAATAATTATATGGTGATGCTATATAGTATATTCTATTAGAATTTAAAGTTCTTTAAGCAACAACATGGCAGGGGAATCCTATTTAAATAAGGGAAGGGGCTGTGGACAACGACAGTCATGTTTCCGGTGTGGTAGAGTGGCATCATTTAAACGACCTCTAACATGTGCGGAGAAAAAATGATATCCTGAAATGATCGACGAACAAAATGAGAGTAAGTCTTGAGTAGGAAGACATAAACGAGGAAAAGTATAAGTTAGTGGGAGACTACTAACTGGTGCCATAGCTACGACACAATCCGTAGCTATAAGCGGATAGCTATGAAATTGCTACGAAAGAATGTTTGTAGCATGATGGTCGGCGGGAAAATTATAGCTACGGAATTTTTCTTAGCTACCATACCTATGGAATAGCTACGGAAATAAATAGTTACGGATTTCCTACACAATAGCTACGGAATTGAATAGTTACAGAATAACTACGAAAGTGGATAGCTACAGAAGTGGATAGCTACGGATTTTCTGTAGGTAATCCGTAGCTAATTATTTTTTATTAAAAAAAACAATAAAAAATTATAAAGAAATCCAATTTTTTCTGTTCAAAATATTGAAAAAACCCATTACATTAAACTTAAAATAATATTAAAATTCAACTACAAAACAAATATCATTATAATAAAACTAATAAACCTAAAAAAGTATCAAATACAAATATATATTACTAATTAACATTGTCTAATGATACACATAATAAGTGTCAAATGTCAACTACAAATATTTAAATAAGTGCTTACAAAATAAAATTGAATTTTTTTGATGGATTACTTGGAAAGGATTTATCAAACTAACAATCTGCAAGTTTGCCTAAAAAAATGTGAAAACAATTATCAATTACTAATTGAAAGAATGTGTAACTGTTATTTAGTTACAATAAGTTAGATATAATTTTCTTTTAGCATATAGAAGAAATCATATTATGCAAGCGATGTTAAATAATATTGTAGGATTATTTATCATGGTAACTAATATTCATACCATTCAAACTAATTTTAACACATGAATGCTAACAGATACAAAATATCATCTAAGAGACAAACCATTTTTCCTAGTGTTCATAATACTGAAAAATAGCATCTTATTAACAAACCATTTTTAGTAATGTTAAATGATAAAAAAAACACTATTTCAATCCATCTAATCATCTATGCCTAAAAAAGAAACATCCAGATCCATAAATATTTACTTTATAAAAACTAGAATTATAAAGACTTGAATACACATAAAGAAATTAACGAACCTCGTAATGTGCTATTATCTAAACCAAGAGCCATTGTAGCTCCTCTTCTGTCAAAATTAAGGTTCCCCCAAAAGCAATACATGTGGCATAAGATCAAGAAGGTTAACCTAGAATCAATTAAGCAATTGATTTCAAGCAAATAGTGACAAAAATGAGATAAAAATAAAATCAAAATCAAAGAAAGATCCACGATAATATATCTTTTTAGCAAAATTATTTTAGCTGAGTTATCTATATAACGTACCAAATGATACAAAGTTATTACCTCATTAAATTATCGTACGAAAAGATTCTTAATCGCCCTCCCAATTCCAAAACCAGGATCTGCACAAGTTTTAGCAACAATCAATCTTCAATAAACAACTCAAATTAGAATCATCAATAGAAAGACATTAAAAAACTAAGTAGTTGGGTCAATTTATTACAGATAGAATGACACCTTATAAACTTAAATAAGAAGAAAGAGAGAAAGAGAGCTAACCAAGTGCTACAAGATGTCACAGTGACAAGAACTCGAACTCCAGGTAGATAACTATATACTAGCCAAACAAGTATGGTAATGATCAATAATTGGTAATAACTAAACAAAAATGGAAGGGAATAGAATGGTACATTAGTCGATAAAAAGAGTTACTAGTCGGAAAATGCAGCGGTGGTGGTTCTCGACGGAGCGGTGGCAGCTATGTCTTCGCCTGTTATATCAAAAAAAAAAAAAGAGATGAGGCGGAGCAGTGAGGGTTTCCAGTGAGCTTTGTCTTCCTCAATCGGTGGTGTCGGCGGTGACGATGTGGACCGACAAGGGTTTTTAGCGAGGCAGAGCTTTGGTGTATGGCGAAGTGCAACGATGTTGAAAGGTGAATCGATAATGGCGATAGCAGAGAGCGGGGAGCAACGTATGGGATGGGGAAGAGGAGGCGAAATGGGGAAGAAGAGGCGAAGGTAATCGATAATATTTGAGTGAATCTGAGGGAAAAATCTAAACCTAGCTAAGCATAATTTGGAGGAGGCGGAGGGGCCCGCGGGGGGGGGGGGGGGGGGTATTTGGTTTTAGAATTTTTGGCCAAAAATAACCCCGCTAAAATGGGTTTTGTTTTGTTCTCCGACGAAATAGCGACCAAAAAGAAACGAAATAGCGACCAAAAAGAAAGAAAAAAAACTGTCTTGTATGGGAGTCGAACTTGGACTATCTTATATATTAACCAATGACTTTACCAACAAGCCGGGCATGCCACATCCAATTTTTAAAGAACCTTAATGTATCTTATACAATACCGATTTCCTTTCGTTTTTTTTATTATTGTTATAATAATAATTATTATTATGATTATTATTATTATTATTATTATTATTATTATTATTATTATTATTTGAAAAAACATCATAAATGGTCTGTATGGTTTTCCCAGATCTGAAGTTTAGTCCCCGTGATTTAAAAACATCATAGAAGGGATGACCGCGCCTAGATCAAAACAAAACCTAAATCGAAACAAACACTAAATCAAAACAAAGCTAAATCGAAATGAATCCTAACCCAAAACGAAAACCTAAGTGGAATTAAACCAAAAAGAAACTTACTTGAAACGGTGTAGATGACGGCGACGACAAGCAGATGACAGTGACGACGAATCAATGATGATGATAGCATGAAAGAAGGAACTCCGATAGTGGCGGAAAGAATTAAACTCGGTAAGCAGACGACGACGAACTCGATGTACACCATTTGCAACGACAGCGGAAAGAAGTAACTCCGGCGGAGTAAGCTTCAACGACTGGAAAATGAAGAAGAGAGGATCGAAGGAGAGGGTGTGAGTGGAAGGATCAAGTAGGAAATTGTCACACCCTAGAACCGGAACGGCGGAAACGTTCAGGGTTGGAGGACGTCATGTTCAGTATCACAACAATGCATAGTAGTAAATAAGCAACAACATCATCCATTGCATTAATAATATAATTTCATACAAGTGTGTTCTGTAAAGTTATAAGACATCAAAAATGTAAATCAAAATATGAGATGAGTCTTGAAAGAGCTCCGTCTTCTCAAAATCTGGCTCCGTTACATGTCTACTGGTGACCTGAGAATACAAGTTATTTTGAAAGAGTTGATCAGCTTTAAAGCTGGTGAGATCATAAGTATGTTAGTGTCATTTTTTGTATGAAAGTGTTTGTAAGTATGTGATGTGTAAGTTTGTAAAGGTTTGTAAAGTGTTTGAATCTCCTAGAAAGCCCTATGTTTTCTACTAAAAGTAGCCTTCTACCAAGGCATCAAGTGTTGTATGGTGGTGGTGTTGATGATGATGATGATGATGGAGGTGTGGTGGTGATGATGATGATGATGGTTGTGGTGGTGATGATGATGGTGGTGGTGGTGATGATGGTAGTGGTGGTGGTGGTGATGATGATGGTGATGGTGATGGTGATGGTGATGGTGATGGTGATGGTGATGGTGATGATGATGATGATGATGATGATGATGATGGTGATGGTGATGGTGATGGTGATGATGGTGGTGATGGTGTGATGGTGATGGTGATGGTGATGGTGATGGTGATGGTGATGGTGATGGTGATGGTGATGGTGTGATGGTGATGGTGATGGTGATGGTGATGGTGATGGTGATGGTGATGGTGATGGTGATGATGATGATGATGATGATGGTGATGGTGTGATGGTGATGATGATGGTGATGGTGTGATGGTGATGGTGATGGTGATGGTGATGATGGTGATGGTGATGATGGTGATGATGGTGGTGGTGGTTGTGGTGATGATGATCATCATCATGATGATCACGATGATGATGATGGTGATGATGATGATGATGGTGGTGGTGGTGGTGATGATGATGATGTGATGGTGATGGTGATGGTGATGGTGATGGTGATGATGATGGTGATGGTGTGATGGTGATGGTGATGACGATGGTGGTGATGATGATGATGATGATGGTGGTGGCGGTGTGGTGGTGGTGATGATGATGATGATGATGGTTGTGGTGGTGGTGATGATGGTGATGATGATGATGATGATGATGGTGGTGGTGGTGATGGTGATGATGATGATGATGGTGATGATGGTGGTGATGATGATGATGGTGGTGGCGGTGTGGTGGTGATGATGATGATGATGATGATGGTTGTGGTGGTGATGATGATGATGATGGTGGCGGTGGTGGTGGTGGTGATGATGGTGGTGGTGGTGGTGGTGGTGATGATGATGATGGTGATGGTGTGATGGTGATGGTGATGGTGATGGTGATGATGATGATGATGGTGATGGTGTGATGGTGATGATGATGGTGATGGTGTGATGGTGATGGTGATGGTGATGGTGATGGTGATGGTGATGACGGTGATGGTGATGGTGATGGTGATGACGGTGATGATGGTGGTGGTGGTTGTGGTGATGATGATGATCATCATCATCATGATCATGATGGTAGTGGTGATGGTGATGATGGTGATGATGATGATGATGATGGTGGTGGTGGTGGTGATGATGGTGATGATGAT